ATCCATGTCTCCTCCCAGCTCAGCTAGCGTCCTCGCTTCCCTTTGCTGTTAAAAAGAGTCTATTCGACATTCACACTTGTTTAATCTTCCTTAAAGAGTGGACTGAGTTGTTCACTGAGTACATAAATAAGACGTCCATTCATTTATTCCTACGAGGGCAGCACCTCGAGGAATCTCATTAATATTGAAAACCTCAACAGCCCGGCGCCGACCGAGTCATGTGCCCCCATCAAACACTGTTATTCGACAGTCTTAACGTCCGCAAGGGAGATTCATCTCAATATTCATAAGCTCGTGTTATTCGGCGTTTGATGTTCATGAAGCAGTTGGGGCAAAGGCAGATTCATCAATCTATTGCGGCTTGAGTGCCCCAGCCGTTCCACGAATCGATTCATTAGTACAATATTCGGCACCTCATGAATTCATTTTGATAGATCAGAACCATAAATTTAATCGGTTTTTAAGTTCGCCGTGTCATGAGGGGCAAGGGCAGATTTATCATTTTATTCAGCCTGAGTGCCCTAGCCGCCTCGTGAAGCGACTCAATATTCATAAGCTCGTGATTATTCGGCGTTTAATGTTCATGAACCAGTTGGGACAAGGGCAAATTCATCAATCTATTCAGCTTGATGCCCCAGCCGCCCCATGAAGCGATTTACTAATAGAATGCCATGAACTAATCCTATTCGGCGCAAGTAGTGAGGCAAAGCTCTTCATTAATATCAAAAACTGCGTACAAGTAATAGTGAAATGGAAAGGAAATTTTCATTAATAAATTGAGCGCAGAAGTAACTAATTTATACATAAAAATTACCTTGTACTAACAAAAATCCACTAAACAAAAACATACATTGAAATTCAAAATAATTAATAAAACTAGAGTGTCTGCCAGATCAATCCTCGGGATCAGACTCAAGTGGTTCAACGTCCACTTGTTGTATGGAATTGGCAAGGTCAGTGTAACTCCACCGGCAGCAAGAGCCTTGAGCCACCCATGTTTGAATCCCCGATTCTCGAATTTGGGGACTTTTTCTACGTAATCTTTAAAGGCGGCGCTCTTTCCAGTCTCGAACGTTGCAGAAGCCTCAAAGTCGGCTTTTTCCTTGGCCTTCTTTAACTCTTCTAACTCGGCCTCTACCTTGGCAAGCGCCTCATTGACTAACTTGAGCGATTCCTCGCTCGCATTCGCTTTACCCTCGGCTTCGGATCTGAGTTGGTCAGCAGTCCGAGCCCTCTCCTTCTCAGCTTCGGCTCGAGCACTTTCCATTGCGGCCCTCATCACCTCGAACTCGGCCCTACTCCTCTCACCTTCAGCTTCAGACTTCAAGTTGCCAATTCTTTCAATGGCATCGTGATGCCGGCGGCCTAGTTCGGCTATCCTTCCAACCGTCTGCAAAACAAGGAGTTGGGATCAGCACATGCCAAGAAATATTGTACGAAAACCAAACCAAACAAGAAAAAGAGTCACATACCAGAAGGGCCGACTAGGCAGCTAATGCTAGGGGTCAGCAGCGGATATATCGATCCGCCAAAACCGACCTAACCGAACCGATCCGCTGCATTTTGGACGGATGCGTGATGACGAGTGGACGGTTGCGGATTGATTTTCTCCGATCCGCCAATTTGGTGGACGGATGGCGGATTTGAGGTTCCTTTGACCGCAACCGAATCGCCAAACCGTGAGCACCCTTAGTAATTTATAAGACTTTGTGTTTTCAATTTGTTTAAATATTTTGTTTGTGTTTTCAATTGAAAAAGAGTTCAAATATTTTGTTGAAAAAAAGTTTTCAACTTGAATATATTTTTTGAATTGAAAAAAATAAACGTATTATTTATCTATATTTTTTTATTTTAAAATCTAACTCTAAAAGTAATAAATAGAAAATATGACATGCTGGTTGATTTTTGTTTTCAAAAACATATATAAATGTAACAATACAGAGACATACTATCTTTACTATTGCTCTGTTCATGATTTTGGTAGTTTGAATTATTTTTATATTTTAAGAACTATAGATTGTAATACTTTATGTGGACGAGACATGCTGTGATTGTAATATGTGGATGAAGCATGCAGTGATTGTGATAATCTAAAGTTTCAAACTTTCTTTCTTTGGATGAGGCATGCAGTAATTGTAATACTTTTTTAAGTCATTGACTGTAATATATATTTTTTTTTTTAGGAAGTGCACAAGTTGAACTATGTTGAAAATTTATAAAATTTCAAACCGCCATACCGATTCATATCCATCCGCCAAACCGCCAATCCGCTCAATCTGCATCCGCCGGATTGGCGGACGGATGCGGATTGATTTTCTTCAATCCACCAATCTGGCGGACGGATGGCGGATTGGAGGTTCCATGGCCGCAACCGACCCGCGCCCACCCCTAGCTAACGCTACAGCTACCAAATCTGGCTCTCCTCGAAAGGTGGCCTTGTCAGCCGGCAACGAAACTGAGGCGGCCTTAACGCTACGGCTGGATCCTTCATGGCGGATGCGTCAGAGGAGATCGGCGTGTTTTTTATCTTTGGCTGAACAATGAAAGGAACCACGTACGATTCCTCTAATCGAGGCCGTTTGCCAGCAGGGCTATCCTCCGAGCCGACTTCTCCCTCATTGGTAGGTTTTTCGGCCCGCCCTTCTGGAATCAACCGTTCTTCCGTAAACTGCTGGTCGACGTCCTTCTCCGTCTCGGCCACAATAACTTGAGTCGTCTCTCCTCTAATAATGGTTTGCGAAGACTCAATCGGGGCAGGTTCAGAACGGGCGACCTCGCCTTTCTTTCGGGCGGCCATTCGTTTGGCGTTTCTCTTTCGCGCCATCTGCGTAAGATTTTCCCAGCCATACCTTCAGAAAAAGAGCCGGGTAGGTCTTCCAAATTTATAAAAATATCTCTGAAGGAAAACTCCGCCAGACCCGAAGTGGACAGCGAGTTAAGCTGGTTAAGACCGGCTGCCTCAAACGCTGAGTTTAGAGCTTCGTCGACCTCTTCGGCCTCCGCAACAAACTCTCTCGTTGGTTCGGCAACTACCTCGACCACCGGCGCTACGTCTTGCTCCGAACCGGAAGCTCCGAGACCAATTTGCCTAAGGGTCTTGAAGCTGGGGAAGATTAGAGCCGTAAGGTGATGTTCGTTGGTCGAGATCGGAATGTTGTCCGAAGCCGAGAATGTAGTATAAGTAGGCTTGTACCGCAAGAGTATATGGGCGGATCTCCCTTGCTTCTGTACGTTTGGACAGCCAAAATACTTTAGTGCAGTCCTAATTTCCGCAAGGACTGCGTCATCAGCCAAGGTCAAAATCCTCTTCAACTTATTGCCTACAAAAACAAAGAATTAAACTTGAAGAAAAAACCGACTAAAAGAAAGATCAATAGACACAAGGGGTTACACGGCAACCTGGTTCGCCCTTTTTTCTGGGAATAAGGTCTAGGCGATCTTCGCCCTCGTCGAATTCCCAGTTGCCACTGACATTGACCATTACATCGTCAACATGTTTGCCAGAGCTGGCAAGCATGGTTATCAAGTGATGGTCGATGTCCTTGGCCCTGAGAAAATAGCGCCCGAGCCGACCGGAGGATTTGGCTAAGGCGTAGCAGTGCCGAATCGCCGAAATGCCAAGGTTGATCCTAAGGCGCCGGTTCAACTCTACGATTCCCATTATGATTCGAAAGAAATTCACATTGGGTTGGGAATGAATCAGACCCCAATGGCAGAGGACGGCCCTAAGAAATGGGTGAAGGGAGAAACGAACCCCGCCCTCTGCAATGGATAGGAGAGGAAAAAACGATGGTATTTTGGTCTTTCCTCTCCATGTCAAGGGTATTGTCCGTTACTAGAGATAGATGGACATCGTCAGGGATAGAGAAATGTTGTCGGAACCCAGAAATTCGACCCTCGGAAAGGAGGTCTTTCAAATGTTTAGCCATTCTCGTAAGGACACAAGGATATTCTAAATCGAAAAAAAATACGAAAAGTAGGATTACAAAGAAAAGAGAAGAAAACTTACGAAAAGCAAAGGAGACAAGAAGAGACTGAGAGGAGTTGCAGAAAACGCGAGTCAGAGAAGAGATACCAACTGGCAATCTAGGAGGCTCAAATATTCGAAAATGTGCATTCGAAGGGACTAAAGTTTCAAATCGTGATAAATGCGAGAGAAGCACGAATGATGCGGGAAAGCGTTACAATGACCAAAAAGCATGTACGCGTTCCGACATGCATCGGGAAGAGAATTAACCGCCGAATTTTTGACTTCCCAGACTAGAAGCCAAACACGCCGACTAACTGGTGCTAGTAGGGGTGTTTAGGGGGCAATTGTAGAGGCCGAATAATTGGAAGAATTAGAAGCGTCCTCTAAAAGAATTATATTACTCGACTCTTTCCTGCACGATCAGAAGGCCGAATAAAACAGATAAGCCGAGTGGATACTGAACTATGGAGCCGAGTAAATAAAAGGATAATGAGTGAAAAGTGAACCTGGCCCTGAGGCCTAGGAAACGAGTATAAATAAAAGAATAACAGACTAAGAAAGGTATGTAAGAATTGTTGTGCTTAATTTAGAATATAAGTAATCTTGAGCGTAAAGACTGACTTGTCCGTCGAAGTGCTAATTCCGACACCCCCGACCGGAATGTTTATTCCTTTTCAGGTGACTATCGACGGATCACGAGCATCCCCCAAGATCATAAGAGTATTTCCAAACTACTTCTCCACAATAATTAAAGATATTTAAGGTGATCATGACACATGCTCAATTAATAGAAAAATTATTAGGTACTTTTAAAGTGTCATATATTCATACTCATTCACTAATCATCATTCACCATACTCTTTCATGTTCTTCTATCATCCAATACAAAATCATAATACCTCACATTCTCCACTAATCATAATATCATAAAACACTATATGACCGTACTCCGAGAATACCTAATAATCACCTCAATTAATATAAACGATTTAAATCATCAAAATAAACTCAAAATAAACCCCCAAAAGACTTAACAACACGGTGCTTATGGAATAGCACCAACCCCACCAGATCCATTCATCGGAGCACAAATAACCAAAAAAAACACCCTATCGTTTTGCATATAATATTGTACAAAAACAATCAATACAAGCATAGCATCACTAAATTGAAAAGAAAATTGGTAAATTCTCTCATAGTCCGAGGAAAGAAAGTCGGCATATGGAAATGAGGTTTTAAAACTTGGAAGCTCAGAGACCTTCTATTCAGCAGAGAACAGATTAATCTCTCTCAATGCACCGTCGAAGCAAATTAACTGCACATACACAACCATGTCGAAATTCGTCTAAATTCGTCCAACTATAATGACAGTTACACCTCTAATCATTCTGAAAACATAAAGCTCTTGTTCTGAAAACCCCCCAAAAAAAAAACTCATCTGCGTGATCTGTGACGATAATCTTCATCTATCCTTGAATGACGATGGGAGGAAGAATCTCTATCATGATCTGACCTTCTGTCCCTTCCCCTCGTATGTAGGTCTTCTTTGTGATAAGATTCTGATTCATTCCTTCTTGATCTCTTCTCCTCCCTCCTATCATTATCATGGTCTTCTCTTGAATTTGGTTCAGCATCATGCCTCCGAGGTCTTTTCTCTGCTCCTCCTCGCTTATCCCAATCTTCCTTCTGATCCATCTTTTCTTTCTGCTCAAATTGATTCTCCATGTCCCCGTGGTCCGTATCTCTTGATTTTAATTCCCTCAGCTTGTTCTGGCTCTCTCTGCCTACTTCACTGCCCTTTGTTCTGGAACTTCTTGCACCTCTATCACTTGACCTATGCCCTTCCTGTGCTGGGAATTCTGAATTGCGATTAGACGAGCCAGTTTGTTTTTCACTCTTTGTCGAACCCTCAAACCTGTCATGACCCCATCTTGATTTCTTATAATCCTCAGGACCCCAACCAGTGTTTGCAGCTCTCTGAGTACAGGGAGGGGGAGAAACAAAGGTTTCAGTAAGCACCTTGCAACAGGAGCCAGAAAACTCTGTTGTGGATAGCTTCATATTGAGAAACAAGCTGAGAATAACAAGATATTGCATGGCAAATCCAATTTTCTTACCATAATATTTTTAAAACATTGTGCTTCTAAATGGAAAAGGTAATAACAAAGAAAAGAAGGAAGAAAAATAGAGGAAACCAGCTTTAACACATATAGCAGCATTTTCGACTTCCTATATCATTCTCCACAAAGTCTGAAAGTACTTATCATTTTTAAAATGTCTAAACCATGAAAGGCCTCTTGAAATTACATGTAAGATCCATAAGAATTTTTTAATTGAACTAATGGGTAATCAATCATAGTTGAATACCCCAGATCACTGGGTTGGCATTGAGATGCAGATGCATTTGGGCATTACAAACACACACATAGTTTAAACTACTAACACATGTACAATTGTATCAATGAAGTGCAAAAGTTTCTTTACCAATTAGGTATTGATGCAGTCCAATTTGGAATTACAGTCGCATAACAGTTGACACCTAAATACATTTGCATGTATGTATGTAGGCATATGGGCTCAATTATCATTTTTGTTCAAGGCCTTGGGAATAGTATACATTCCCCGAACAATGGGAAATGATCTTACACACGAAATACAGAAGTACAGTTGAAATCTACTATGAATGAAAATATGAAACAACCATCACATCTCATGTCATGTACATGCCACAACAGTTAATGATTCATGCAATCAGATTATAACAAAACAGAAAGATTTCATTCACGATTACTGGTAATGTGGCAATCATGAATAGAAAGACAATCTAAAGCTAAGCCTCCCAAAATCCCAACAACAACGTAACATTTACATAAAAAATTCTGAGTCATCCCAACACTGGCTATCAAAGAAATTTAGTTGACATAAGATTGATCCACTCAAATGGCCAAAAATAAGGGAATGGGTTAGAGTTGATTGAATATCGATAAATAAGGGTCTCTGGCTGGGACGTTTTGCGAGAAACCCAAGGAAGTCTGTCAGTGCTTTCTTTGTTTTTATGGAAGATTTTAAGTAAGTTTCAGGAGAGATGCATGTTACTTCTGCAGTGATAATTGGTAAAGCTGGTGGAGCTAAATGAAAATCTATGTCAGATGCCAAGAAGGAACCTTTCAAAACGTTAGAACTTTATTGATGTAACTTTGCATTGGGGAATCATCTCTGCCATCTTTTATTTTCTTTTTCCTTGATTGTAAAAGGGTTCTACCTCCTCAACACGTTCTCTAATACAATTGTCTTAGATTAAGAAGGAAAAACAAAGAAAAACAAACACAAAAGATAGGTTAGGGTTCTGGGGCTGGACAAGGACTGTGAATAGCACCCAAATTTATAGTGACTTTTTCAAAGAGGAGGAGAAAAAGGATACAGGAGAAGAAAACTCTACAAATTCTACACAGAATTCCTTATGAGCTGAACAATCTACCACATGAAGCTTCAAACACTAGCACAAATTCACTAAACTCAACTCTCCTTAATAGAAAGATTACATTTGTATTTATATGCTGTTGGGCTCTCCTAATGTTATTAGGGCTATAACTTACAATTTTGGAAGCCAAGAAATTGACCAACTAAAATTCTATGACCATATAAGCAAGAAAAGACATAAAATGGTTATGATGCTTCTAAAGAGAATCATCAATCTTACTTGTTCATCATGGGAAAACTTGCATCCAGCTCCACGGTTACATTCACCTCTTTGAAAAGCACGGCACACTCCTCGTGCCTCCCTCTTCTGCCGCTCTGTCTCTTCATCTTCCTCTTCTTTCTTTTTATAGTTAGTAACATGATCAACCCTAATGATTCGACCGAGAACTTGAGCGCCATTCAGATTGTCTGTTAAGTATATCAAACAATAAGCAATGGTGTTACAACTTAGCAAACAATAAGTAATGCTTGCAGTAGTGACATTAGTAGGAAACTTATATAAGCAAATACTCTCATATAGTCAAATTGACATAGCTACAGAGAGAGAGACCAACCAACAGCCAGATTTGTACTTCTTTGATCCTCATATGCAATGAAAGCAAAACCTTTCGATTTACCAGTGCCTTTATCTCTGACAAGGTTAACATCAACAATCTCTCCATATCTGTAAATTAACTCAATCAGACAGCAGATTCCAGTGATGAGAACAAAACAAGACAAAAACAAAATAAATTAAAAAATAACAAGACAAAAGCAGATGAATACATGGGAAAAAGAATCCCACCATAAAAATCAGAATGAATAGTAATTAATGCAAGCTATGAAACCCATTATTTCTCATACATAATAAAAATTCTATACTAAAGCAGCAAGATATATGTTAAAAGTTTCACACTACCGTGTAACAAGGATTAATAAAAAGAACTTACAGCCCTAAGATTTGATATTTGAAATATGTAAATTATTTTCAAAACCTATAACCTAAATTTCAGTTGAAATTCTCATTTTTCACATATCTGCAGCTTTTAACCACTGCTGAATGGTATACAGAGCACTTGAATATGAACAATGCCCACATTGTATGGAAATCAACTCAGAGCGACATACCTACTACACATATGAAACTACACACATGAAACTACGGGCACCACTGAGCCATTAGAAGAGAGATCCAAGTTTAATGTTATAAATGCTTTCAAACATGAGGGGTGCTGGAGAATAATTAAGGCTTTAGGAAATAAAAAGAAGATAGGATATAGACCCAATGATTAATGGTGTTTGAGACCTTTTGTTGAATATCTTTTTATTTAAAGCAACAGATGTTAGAATATCTTGACAATAGCAAGAATGCTCATTCACATAAAGAGCCAGTATATAATTAGCCAAAGATTGTGCAATTTGGATGTCATAAAATCATGTTACAACCTAAACAACAACAATTTGCAACATTGACATGGTTACTGCTAGTTTATTTTAATCTTGTATTGGTCAAGTAGACACTTTGGTACCGAGCAGCGAGTCTTCTTCCGCCCTTAGGCAGCTGCTGGATTTCCTTCACAGAGAGAGGGAACAAGTTAATTCTCTTCTTTCACCGAAGGTCACATAGTGGTGGCATCCGGTTGAGAATTCAATTGAAATCCCTTTACAGTCTGTCAACGATGACAAAATTTGGAGGGAGAGTGATACAACTAATAATGATGATAGCTCCCCTCATCCCTCTGCCATGAACAGAAGGTTAACCTATGGGATCTATTAAACCAATCCAAACTAAGTTTTGTGTCTAATTAGGTGGAGTCAGATATATGAATCCTTTTTTACCATTCCACTCTGTCAAGGAAAAAAATAATAGAAAAAATCAGCAAATTCCAATATTTTTCTTCCAAGAAAGCTAAATCCCAAAATATCCAACAATAAATGACAAACTCCATTATACAAATAGGGTCGGGCTAAGGCAATAATCACGACTAGGATGAACTTCGATAAATAAAATAAGAATTAGTAGAAGTTCTCAAAAGGTAAAGCAAATGAAACCTATTTTTCATTTAAAACAAAACAAAAAACAAAACAAAGCAAAAAACAAGACAACAAAATTATGGTGACTAGAAAAGCTCTAACTTTAATTGGTCTAATGGACTAGCTTTGAAGAATCTAACTGTTTTTACTAGTGGTTATGCACACACAACTGAATTTTGTATGGCATAACTGCTCTTACGTAAATGATCTTGAGTGCAACCAACTTGGTTGTAGGCCTTATATAATAGTACAGATTTTTTCATGGCCAATCTTTGTATGGTCTTTATTTAATCTACTTTTCAAGAACCTCTTCCATACACCAGCAAGAATATCCACTTTCCAGAAGCAATAGAACTTGATGTTCTTTCACGTATCCTACCTTTGGTTCACAAGCTCAAAATATTCTTCTCCTTTTTTACAAGCTCGCTCAAAATATTCTTCGCCTTTTTTACAGGCCAACTCAAAATATTCTTCTCAAGGATATCTTCCATGATAGTAGTAAAATTTAAACATCAAACAAAACCGATTCAGGTTCCCAAAGTTCAAAGTTGCAATCCTCCTGTAGTTTTCCAGCCTTTAGTTTAGTAATTCAAAATATTTCTCCAACACATCCTCTGTAATCTGTAGTCACAAGAAGTTCCTTAGCACATGATCAAGCTTGCCTTTTTTCCCATGTTATATTCCCCTTCAAACAAAAAAGTTCATGCCTATGCTTATAGCTCCCCAATAACTTTAATTTCTCGTGAAAGTCAGTACAAGAAATTTATACATTAAATTTTTCTGTCATTTTTGTTGTTGAATGTCACCAAAAACCCAGCCCTTGTTACACACTCCGTGACCTCACCACAGTTGTAGTTCCTCTAAAAAGAAAATGTTAGTCATATGGCTTAATTCAATTCATAATTTTTTTTATAAGTAACTAATTCCATTCATAAATGATTACTGGAACATAAGAAATGATTTAGCATTATTACAGCAGCAACACAAAGGACCAGATAAAGCAATGCCAACACACCTACAAGCAGAATTTGTGAGAATTACCTATCTATCTTTGAGCTATGCATGTGTATTAAAGAACCATCTATCTAGAACAAAAAAACAAACAATGGCATGATCTCCTAGAAGTTCCATAACATCAAGCCATATTTAACTTGTTCTAGCACGTATAAATAAAATAACATTTCTCTAAACATCGAAACATGCATTGGACACCTGTGGACATGAGTATGAAATGTTTACCACGAACCAGTTATTAACAGGAAAAAAAATGTTCCACATATTGCAAATGTTAACCCGTCCAGAAGGGGGAAAAGGATGAAGATGCAAAGATCAAGTAGCCACTCTGCACTTCTTTTTTATTTGAGAGGGGAGGGGGAAGAGTTATTATCTATGTTACATGGACTCCTCTATTTTCCCCTAAAATACCCATGTCCATTGGATATGACATGAGTAACGATGTGAGATATGTGTCCAACACTTGTAACCAATTTAGACATTCAGATCCTTTAATTTGTTACAATATATGAAGAAAAAGAAACTCACATTTTGCTAATAAAGCAATACTTTTAGCATTTCACGTGAATTAGAGATAAACATTCCGTATTTTTTTTAATCCTATTTAATTTCTAGTATGTTTCTATATAATTTACATCTCATCCGAAAAAATTATATAATATGCAATATATATGTATATGACGCGTCCCCCATATGCCTATCCAATTTTGGATAAGTATCCAAGCTCCTAAGATTTAAGTTTATGAAGGTCTACGCTTTGATACACACCTGCTTCTAATACTCGTACCCATTTTCATGTAACATCAGTTATCATGCAACTTTTTCAGGCCCAAATCTTTGTCAACTTATAGTTCCTGACAAAACAATTTATCACGAACTGTTGTGATTCCAAAGTGGCCTATTACATAGGCATAGGCTGTGTTTGGATCTTGTACTCATGAAGGGATTTGTGGAAGGAAACAAAAAAAAAAGGATACTCCTTCATGCACTTTTCCCCTTCCTTGTTTCTCAGCTTCTCCACAAATCCAAGATATAATAGTAATGAATTAGAGAGATTGAATCTTAAAAAATATAATAATAACAAGACAATCTAGTTGTTCATTCCACCATGCCTACGATACAAACTAGTACACATAAAAAAACAATTGAGAGATAAAAAGTAAAGAGCAAAAGAAGAATAAGGAGCACTTACTGTGCAAAAACAGCAAGAAGATCGCCTTCAGTGAGATCAAAGGGAATGCCTCCGACAAAGACATAAGCAGAATCTTTGTACTTGGCGTGCCAGGAAGCTTGTTCAGAAATACCTAACGCAGCTTCTTTCGAATTGATATTCTGAATTCGTTTCACTAGCGTCAATGGATTCATAGCTCCAACGATGGAGGATCGCCTGAAACCCTAATCGTTGTTCACTCCTTGCTGCTGCTGAACAGAGACAAATATATATGATGTCAAGGAAGGTTCAGTCCCTCCATTTTTTCACCTAATTGATTTGTTAGAAGGGGGGAAAAAAAAAATTGTATAAAACTTTAAAAGTGATTCGAACCTCATCTCGTAATTCTCTAAAAAAAATATTTAAAAAAAAAAGTGGGATTCAAACAAGACATGTAAATTCAAAGCATTACCAGCATAGCCGAAGCAGACTCACTCGTCTTTGGTGAAATCCCAGATGGGTTGGGAGATTTAACCAATCTCAAACAGATTACACTCTCCAGAAAACAATTTCAGCAGCGAAGTGTCTCTAAATCTAGCCAAATTGAAGAAACAGAAGCTTCTTGATCTCAGCCAAAATGGGTTCGTAGGAAAAGTCCTGGAATCAATAGAAGGATAAATAGAGCTTTTGAAGATCGACGTCAGCTCAAGTCGATTTTCCTGGAAAATCCCATCAAGCTTGAAGAATCTGAGGAATTTGGAGTTTCTAGACATAGGTTATAATCGATTTTGACAAGAGAAAGAGAAAGAGAAACGAGAGAACGATAGAGAGAAACTCACCACGCCGGAGAACTAAGCGCCGACGGAGATCGCCGCCCCTAGATCGTCGCCGTCACAAATCGACTCTGTTGGAGTGAGTGGGGGAATGAAAGAGAGTGGGAATGAATAACCTAGCTGTAAACAGGGATATGGGAAAATGGGGACGGGTATCCATTCCGATGGAGATTTAGGTCATGTTTGAAAACACTAAATAAGTGTATTTTTTGATTTTTTTTGTATTATGTATAGAAAAAGTAGAGAGAAGATATTGATTGATGTGACTTAAAAAAAATAAAAAGATGAAATAAGTACACTTTTTTTTTGTTAGCCAAACTTGCAATGACTTTTTTTAATTAATTTTTTTAATTTGAAATTTTTTTGTTTGTTTAATATTTTTATTAGGTTTTTAAATTTTTTTTTTATATTTTAGGTGATGTGTGAATGAGTAAAATGACTAAATTATCCTCATGTGGACAAAATGCAACTACATCTCCAAATTCTATATATATTGTGAGCTAACAATGACCCAATAATTTTTTATTTTATTTTTAATTTCCTTTTTTTTCACATTTTTTTTTCAATTGCTTCATGCTACAAGGGTTTGGTAGTTTTCTGCTTCACATCATGGCCAACTAATCAAACAAACCAATTATTCCTTCCACCCACAGGACATAAAGAAGCCAAAATATGTTTTGCAAAATTTGTGAAGACGGCTATACACTCCCATTTCCACCAAGCCAGTGTTCCAAAAAAAAAAAAAAAAATATTTAAAACATGAGAGCTAAAATACATTAATAAAATAAAATTATCAAGTCCATAATAAAGGTATGTCCAAACAATACATTAATAAAATAAAATAGTCAACTCCATAATAACAAACTTTCGTTCGTAATTAGATCTCCGACAATAACCAATTTCTTCGGCGTACCATAATGGGAACGTACAAACCTAATTAGATAACGTACATACACACAAGACCATAAATACTAAACGTGATCCTAGAAATTCCCTACATATACAAACAGCAAGAACGGCCGAACTTGGATTACCGACTTTGTCCTATATATTTCCCAACATGCCATGATTGCGCATGTGTACCAAATGATGTCGTATGACATTTCGAACAAGTTCCATATCTGGGTCATCATCCCCAATGATTACTCCATCCCCTCCAGGAGGAGCAAACAACGGAATGGCATTGATTATGTTTGTCGTGTCGGCCTCTGTTACTATGGGTTGAACATTGGTTGGATTTCCTGTATTTCTTCTGTATGTAGTTATACAATGCCATCGACGCACCAACTAAACGCACATGCACAGTCACAAAATCATAATGAAGCATATTTTCCAGAAAACCCCATCGACTTTTCCACAACCCAAAGGTTCGTTCTACGACACTGCGCACCGACGAGTGTGCCTTGTTAAATAATTCTCGTGGGTTCGCTGTGTTCCTTGCACCTCGCCAAAAATCTTCTTGGTGGTAACGGTGGCCCTTGTATGGAGCGAGGTAACCCGTTCGATTAGGATAGCCCGAATCAACAATATAATATTTCCCTGCCAGATGTGAACAAATAACGTTATTTGAACATAGTGCGCATATTTGTACGTAGTGAATTTTGAAATGATAATTCTGCATTACCTTCCTCCGGATGTGGAAACGGCACATTTTTATTGTTGATTATTTCAACAAAAACTCTACTGTCATGCATACTTCCTTCCCATCCAAGTAATACAAACGTAAAACACATGTCGAAATCAACAACCGCCATGATGTTTTGTGCGTGACAGTATTTGCGTCCAAAATAGGTCGCTGCCTCAGGCCTTGTCACTTTCGCAACAACATGCGTGCCATCGATCGCACCGATGCAATCCTAAGAGCACAAAAGTTCAGCAAAATTTTTGACATGTAATATGCCCCAAAACTTGGATGGACACATATGCAAGCTGTACCTTGAATGGTAGGTATTTCATTTTTTACCGCAAGTGATGATGTTGCACATTTTGATTTGTTGTTGGCCTACAATGCACAATCGTGAACTTCTTCATCGCCTCCAAAACATTATGCACGCTGCGTGATACGGTTTCACCCGAATGTTGAAACCGTTCTTGGATGGCTCTATTCTTAAACCCTCTTAACACATGTATGAACATTGCTACGCTTTCTTCCACGGCTAATCCATGGCTACGTTGGTTAACACATGAACAAAAATCTCTAACTAATGTGTCACATGACAAGGAAAATACATGTTTTGGCATACAACCATTTTCTTCAAAACGACCAACGTGTCCATTATATAATTCACATATCCATGCACCTCCAGTCAATATTGATGTTCAACATGGTGTTTTTGACATGAAGTTTGCGTAATATTCTTGTACGTACCGACATGCTTGCACGTACGTCCAGTTATTTTGTTCTTGAATCTGAATAGCCATTTGGTTAATTCGCTCTACGAAATCAACGTTGCTATTACCTTCCTCGTTAGACATGGCCACCACTTCGACAAGGCCTACAAGACATATGTCCAACGTTAACTAACATGACATATATACATGAACAACAGACCATGCACAAGATTACTGAAAAGCAAACTAGCAACTACTGGACATGCATAAATCAGTCATTCCATCCAAACCAACAAATCAAAACGAAAAACATAATAAATACAACACAACCTGGTCATATTGTTCCACCAAACACAGAAGCATCCAACTTAAGCAAACCAAACAAACCTAAATAAAAAAGTTTCAAAAAAAAACAAGGAAAATAAAAGAGACGTCCTAAATATCCAACATTGTAACAAGTTCACCTTAAAACGTTAACATATAACACAGAAAGAACCCATCAGTTCTCAGAAGTCGCCCAACCCTGTGGCCTATCCCAGTATCCATCAAACCCGCCGTGCACCAAAAAGGTTCGCAAATGGAGTTGCAGTGTTGCTTTATAGTTGCTTCTGCGTAAACCACTCGATAATATGGTCATCATTGGACTGGCACATCGTAACCTCTTGATAATCAGCGTTGTCCATAAGAGATGATGCAAAGTGGAACAACGGTGTACCCACCAAGGCAGGAATGGATTTCAACCTGTCCATGCACTCTGAAATGGTGTACAACGACTCATTCCCAGTTAAGTGCCTCACGGTAACTTCTTGGTTTTTAGTACGGACGACATTGCTCAAATTGTTAACGCTGTCAGCCATGGCAGATGCTCCATTAGTCGGCTTCCTTGACTTTTCTAAACTTGTGGGAGTATTGCTTTTCCTCTTTGCTCCAAGGTCAACCGCAGGCTCAACATCTTCCATTGACGATTCAGCATCTACGTCAATACCAACAGAAGGGATTGGATCTACGAAAGGCCGCATACCAAGGCTTTGAACCGAATCAGAAGATCCTTCGTTAGCTTCGACAGTCCTCTCCTCCGGTGTCCAATGATGTTTGCCAGTCGCAGCAGCGCCTGTGAAGACAATCTCCATCAACTCCTGGTGCTCCAAAGTCTTAGTCCTGAACTTTGCACAACTCTTATTTATCTACAGCAAAGGAAACACAAACCATTAGTGACAATATGTTACAAAAAAAAATTTAAAGCAATGTAGAAAGGTAACAAAATAGTATAAATAATTTACCAGTTCCATACGATCCCACCATTCATCGAAAGCCAGAAACATGCCTGTTTCAGCGTCAAAGCCAATTCAGGTTATGCTTTTCGTACGGTCCATCAACTTCATCCAAGCAGTCCATTCTCATTTCAGGCATGTGTACTTGTTTTTCAACTGCTTGACATCATATTTTCTACCAATTTTTTTTTCAAACTTCTTGGCCAAAGACTTATACCCAGTGCTGCTCAAAACCATGAATGGTCGGTTGCCCTCAACAATCTCATCAACAATAAGCTGTAGGAAAAGCTGTGTAGATTCATAATCCCACACAACTTTGTGAACATTTTGGCTGTCGGCAAGAACATTAGCTCGGGTACTTCTAACCCCTTTATTTTTGGCAACAGTACGTGGTAAAGTTCGTATGGAATCCATACCGACAATGCAACTGATAAATTAAAGCATAAGTACCTTATAAATGTATGCGTATCACTCACCTAAGCGAATTGGCGCAAAAACTTATAAAATTAACAATTTTCACAGTCATTTACACATAAAATTAAGATGAACTACCAACAAACAATTTTGTAGATCGAAACCACCATTCCATTATACGTTATTGACAATGACTTGTAGGTATCATGTCCATAACAAACATAAGTCATTACAATATTAGCTTTGTTAGGGTGTTACAACACACTTGGAACATTTTCACATACGCAACAATAAGATTACAACAACAATGTACAGTACAGAAACAATGGTTTTCAAGATACGCAGCGTTTGTTGCATGTTAATGACATCATCCCGCAACTGCATGACAATGTCATGCGTGGCGGAGTCAGACTCTATGTTCAGTCGCCTAGGTTCGTCGCACCAACCAATCCAACTTAAACATGGCTGACGAAATAGACGTACAAAGCTATTAGTAAACTGGTTTAAAAGAAATGACAATATTTTTCAGCAAAAAAATTGGGTGTACTCACCACAGGATTCGGACATGCATAGTAAGCCCGTCTTGGATTTTTGTGAGATCTGGAAATCTTGACAACACATTGACCGTAGCCACAGCCACACGTACGATGTGGCCATGGAGTAGATGTGCCACTTGACATGAATGAAGCCATGCTTTGTTTTGTAACATAGATGAATAGTAGACGAACATAAGGTGTAAGACAATATATGGTACATTTTTGTAAATAAGTTGTGTGCTTGTCGTATATGATATGTGTGGTAATGAGATGGTTATGTCCTACAGGATTTTTATTATCATACACCCTACTGCACTTAACTACATAATTGGTTTACCACTACTGTTTATGGCATAAATACAATAACACATACCTACCAATGCATATACGCACATACACCTATAGGATTGCATACACATAAGCAACACTCTCCAATGGACCCAATCCAAGAGAATTGAAAAAGAACGCTCACTGTTTTGCATTTAACAGTTAGGAAAGTGTTACTAATCCAACATAATTGAAACGACTAAAATTAATACATTATAATTACAAAAAAGGAAACCAGCATTATCAACTATGGCAGATGTTCAGTTAGTTAGTTGGACATTTAATTATGATTACATTGAAGACCAGGCAGAAATACATATAGAAAATAATAGACAGTTCAGGCGAAGGCATAACTATTGGGTGGTGAAAGAGCAAACAACAACAAATAGTCACAGATCACAAAAAAACCAATAATTGCCAATAGATTTGAAAGACAAAATAGAAAAAACAAAACAAAACAAAAATTTAACAAGTTCAAATGATGTGCTCTGTTTTGTCTATATTTCAAAAAATGCTTCTCCAACCAAAATCCGGATACAACCAACTACTGGACAGTAGGTTCACTGAGTTAAGAAAAAAAAAATTAAAGCATTCCTAATAGATGTTGAAGAAAATATGGTTCACATTCAATAATTTACAAAATGGTAACAAATGTAAGAAATTAATAGATAGATTGAATTGCCTTGTAAAAATAAATTGTTCTGTTCAGTTTAAGAACTAATAGATAAATGACATTCCAATTGCTCTGTCTACTGCACCAAGAAGCAAAACCATTTGTAGTGTGAGTTCAAAAAAATGTGTTCAACGACTAACAACAAACAGGGATAATAAAAAAAAATAGGAATTTTTTTTTAAAAAAAAAAAAAAACCAGTTTGACGTCCACCGAGTTAGAAAAAAAAATCAAAAAATTCCACAAGTTTCCACAAATATTGGTATCACATACGGGAATTAAGAAAAAACCGAACAAAAATTTAAAAAAAAATAAAATAAAATAAAAAATAAACCAAAAGAACACTAGCATCCAACTCCTGTTCAGTTCATCCATAACAAATTAGAATCAAGTACATCGACTTCGGTTTTAAACCACCATTGACACCAACAAAACCTTTTTACTAGTGATCGAACTTCAGAATGACAAATTTTCAACATACACAAAACAAATAAGTGACATCTCATGCAAAGAGACGAAAACCCCAAAATAGAGCGAGTTATGCGTACCAGAAATGCAACAACGACACAATGTTACGCGTGAAGGATGGTCGACGCGTTGACGGAGCACTGTAGGCCTGGATCGGTCGTCCGATGCTGTGTCGTCGTCTCCCTCTTTTTGGTTCTTCATCGCCGTTTGGTTCGTGTGTTTTATCAGGAAACCTTACCAAATACATGTAAACATGCGACCAATTGTACAGGGGGTATTTTCGTCATTGTCCATTTCTACACGTGCTTCCCAGCACACGTGTTTGACCTTTTGTCTGTTTGTGATTTTATAGCTCATTTTTGTTGTGTTGTGCTTATATAGTCCCAAAACGATTGCCAAATCGCAGCTTAGCTTTCGTTTGGCTAACTTTGAGCTAAAAAAATTAGAAAGATGACATAGGAGTGTTTTGGGAAGTTGGTAAAAAATTGATTTTTTAATTTTTTTTAAACTTATTTTGTCTTTTTGTGGATAAGTTATGTGAGAGATGATGTGACCCAAAATGGGTAAAAAGCTGAAAGCTGACTTTTTACCAGCTTCCCAAAAGACTCCATAGGTTAAACTTTCGTCAGAAGTATTTATTTTAGTTAAAAATTTAAAAAGTTATTATAAATTTTTATTTTTTTTATTGTAAAAAATAAAAAAGTTATTAAAATAATTTATTCCCAAACGAGACCTAAATAAGTTAATAAGACAAAATGTCACATTCAAACCATAATCATTTCATTTTTTTCTCTTACAAAAGTCATAAAAAACCAAACCAAACCAAACTAACTTTTTAATCCCAGCTAAAAAAGTCTCAACTCAAAAAAACTAACTAAAAAAGTTGATGCCAAATGATGACTTGAACAATATCACTTACCCGACCCAATGGGTAGAAAAAAATAGAGAACTCCGTATTCAGGTCGGGTCTCCATGGATATTTACTGAGTAGGTTATCTATTGCGATTCATTCATAATTATTAGAGAGAAAGAGAAGATAGATTGAAGCTCATAAAAAACGAAGCAATTTTCATTCTTGATACTGATTAAAATCTCGATCACTTACAAGCTTCTTGGATCATTGAAAATAATTGTTGATTGTTCTGCTAATTGTTTTGATAATCTTATATTGATTTTAGTCTTGTGATATCCTATTACTCCATCTGTCTCAAAATATTGAGAAATTTTTTGATACAGATAGGGTACCATGTTGACACCCATATATGGTACTCATAGCCAATCACAACTTAACAACACATCTTCTTAGTAAAAATTTGCCACATAAGACAAATATTAATAAAACATTAAACTAACAGAACAAAACTTTGTTAACTCTTTCTGTCTCTTCACATCTTTTCTCTCTTCATTGATCTTTTCTCTGTCTTCATTAATCATGAGCATATTTTGTCTCACTCTACTTTTAAGAATTTTATTTTTTTATTCTTTTTGGTCTGACTCTCTCTTTACCCAAAAAAAAATTAAAATTAAAATTAAAAACAAACCAAAATTAGTCTATAGACAAACCAAAAGTTCATGAATATCACAAACATTAAGTGCTAGACTTATTTATTTTGATGATTTATTTAATTATGTTTTTAATTTATTTGAAAGAGACAAATGGAATCAAAATTTATTTTGATGATTTATTTGAAAGAGACAAATAGAATCAAAATTTATTTTGATGATTTATTTGAAAAAGAAAAATAGAATCAAAATTTATTTTGATGAAGAGTGAGGATTCTAAGGTATTGGTGAAGGATGAAGAGATTAAGGAAAGATGTAAGAATTATTTTGAGAAACTATTAAATGAGGAACATGGAGGTACGACAATAGGGAAAGAAGAAATAGCAGTAATACGATAAACCAAGACTATAGGTTTTATCGCAGGATTAGGAATTTTGAAGTGGAGATTGCAATTAAGAAGATGAAATCCAATAAGGCTTTAGGACCCGATGATATCCATATTGAAGCTTCGAAGTGTTTGGGTAAAAAGGGGGTTGTTTGGTAGACTAGGTTGTTTAGCAAAATTGTGTTGACTAGGAACATGCTAGATGTGTGGAGGAAGAGTATTTTAGTGCCAATCTGTAAGAATAAAGGTGATGTCCAGAATTGCAACAACTATAGAGGAATCAAGCTAATGTGTCATATAATGAAAGTGTGGGAGAGGGTGATGGAACGCCGATTGCGAGAAATAACAGAGGTGTCAGAGAATTAATTTAGGTTTATGCTTGGTAGGTCAACAATGAAAGCGATCTATCTTTTGAGGAGAGTAATAGAAAAGTATAAAGAAAAGAAAAGAGACATTCATATGGTATTTATCAACCTTGAGAAAGCATATGATAGAGTGCCTCGGGATTTAATATGGTGGGTGTTAGAGAAGAAAGGGGTGACAAAATGTTATATTGACATGATTAGGGACATGTATGAAGGGGTAGTGACCACTATTAGATCGCCAACTGGAGAGACAAATGAATTTCCTATCACTGTAGGGTTACACCAAGGATCTACCTTAAGTCCTTATCTTTTTGCTTTAGTTATGGATGAGTTGACAAGAAATATTTAGGATAACGTGCCATGGTGTATGCTTTTTGCAGAC